TATAGATAAGCTTCCATACATAACTTCCAATAATTATAATTATTGCCAACAAGCTTTTCCATAGCTATACCCGTAGAAGCACTTCCATCATTCATCTCGTTAAGTAATAATATCGAACCCTTGGTTACCAACCTGGCTCTGATACCAACTGACACAATATCTAACACTCAAAAGTGTGAATAAATTTGAAATTATTATTACTCAAAGAAGACAATACAGAGAAAACTGCTGTATTTTACTAGCACTGAGACTTCTATTTAAACTGAAATAACTGACTCAACTGATTTGCACACAACTACTTAACATGAAACTAATTTATTTTGAGAAATAAAGCTAACAGACACCTAATAAGAATGAATAACTTGACTAATTCAAACTAGCAATAAGTTGCACTAAATTGTGACAAATAGAGTTTCTATTTTAGCTTTGTTGAGAGCTCAGCTTTTACTTTGCAAATTCTTGTGTTTAGAACTTGCATGCTAGAGTTATTCAAGTGGTAGTGATCAAACCTATTGTGGAGTGATTTGAATCAAGAGTTTAGAAATGAGTTTTCTTTACTCTTAATCTTGATCATCAAGGTAATCCGTTCCAAAACTTTCCCTTGGGTTGATTCCATATCAATTTCTTAATTTTTTTTTTAAAAAAAATCCAAGATGGCTACTTACTTCTTGTTTTGTATTTGAGGTCTCGTTTCTCGAGATTTTTGTACTTGATTTTCTCCGATTTTTCCTGAGCAGCTTTCTTAAAGACTCTAGTTTCTGGAACCATTAAGAATTTTATGAGAACTGCCAAAAAGAGGTTCAATTTGATGAAAAACTATGGAGATGAAGGTTTTTGGCCTTACGTGGCCGGCTCATTTAAACCGGCCACATCATCGTCTTCTTCCTCCCGCAGGGAAAGAAGACGCATTCACTCAATCACCGTTGAATGAGATGAGCTGTGAAAGTTCTATATTATGCCCAATTTTGGAGGAGATCCAACGACTAAATTTCAAGATACCGTGGATTATTTGCATATGGGTACGGTGGAGATCTGATTTGGTCAGCAGGAGAAATTCCATAATTTTTCGTTTCCTTAGAGGCAATTTGGTAATTTGGCCATTTCGGAATATTTAATATTATTTTTTCCAAAACATCCAAAACTTCAAAATAATTCTTTACCTCTTTTTGAGTATTTTTCTCTTATGAACACCTTGAGAATCTTCCAAGAAATTAAAAATTCTAGAAGTTTTGTAATAGCGAGAAAAAGTTCAATTTTCCCATATTTTCCAAACTTCCTTTATTATTTACAACGGAAACTTAGTACAACTTGGTAGAACAATATTTTTCCATTGTCGAGGCTTTATTGTTATTAAGGATCACATGTTCAACTTGAGATATTACATGATCTTAGGGCAAAAAGATTCAACAAGCATTCATTCTTCATCTACAAAATTAGATAGTAGTCGGTTCAATCATTATTTCATGTGTTACAAGCTGATTCGATTAAGCTTCAAAAATGAATATTTTAACGGTTGAAGTAGCTAATCAAGTTGCTACAAATTGATAAGTTGTTAGAAAATTTTATTTATTACTTTTAATTCCATAATGGTTGGCGTGAGAAGTTATGGAATTGTTGGCGGTGGGAAGTTATTTGTCCAATTGGCTTATGATTCGAAGGTTTTAGGATTAAATTATGGCCACTAACTCTATTTCAAAAAAGTTATTTTTGTTGAGAGACAATAATACCCACAAGTTAGCATGTAAAATATATAATTTTTATGAATGAAATTGAGATCTCAAATACTCTCACCTTTAGAATTTTGGGCATCATCTTTGACATTTCTATGCTTTATACCATTCTTGTGGTAGATTACATCTCAGTCATTCAATCAAGTCTTAATCAAGTTCTATTGTAGAGTAACTCAATTTAGAACAAAGTTCCAAATCTTGGTTCGAGATCTTTGATCTCAAGACGTAATCTAATTCTAGCTTTATCTCTTGGTTGATTTAAATTTTATATAAAGAGATGTTAATTTTTTTGATCCAAGGGTTTTTGCTTCAACAAAAGCTTAGATTGTTGGGTTGAGGATTAGGGTTGCCTTATCAATTGTCCTTGGGTATTACAAGTTTGGCACGTGAAAGAACGTGTGGAAGGTGCGTCTTGGCTTGTGGAAGCCTAGGTCAGATCCCCGTTTTTCCCTTTCGACTTCTTTTAACCTGTCTATCAATATTGGCCCATATTAACTTTAAAATTTATTAGATATAGGTGTTTTCTAATGAAATTAGGAAGGAATAACCCCTTTAAGGATGCAATAAGCAAGAAACGGGCTAGGTGACACAAGTAGCTTACTGAAGCCCTAGATAAGTTTTAACTTATTATTTATGTGAAGCATATCGATCATGTGATTAGGAGCTTAGTTACGATAAATGCATATGAATAGCATGACGTAAATTGTACTAACCATGAGTGCATGCATAGAATATGAGAATTTTAGAAATTCATGACATGTTATAAAACTCTAGTTTATGCTTAAAGACCTATCATCATAATTAGGCCTCATGTAGACTTGTAGTTGGATGAATGGTAGGATGGGAGGGTATGTAGCCTAATTAGTTTACTACACCCCGTATAACCCCTGACCAACACTCTGAACGCTAAAGTTGGGAACATGAGTATTCCTGATTGTTGGGCTGTGTGCTATTCCTGACAGAGCTATATTTGACCGAAACCAGCTCTTATATACGAGTCCGAAATTCATGATAAAGCATAAATAGAATTCATAGGTAAAGAATAGTTAAAATACCTTAAGACCTATTATCACCTGGTTATCCAAAACTTCTTTGGAAGTTAGAAAGGGAGTCTATGATTTGATGGACTGAGGACTTGATCCGCCCAAAAACATTCAAATTGAAGGTTAATTATAAAACTTAAATGTACAGTAACTTAACAAGGTACTGTATATTTAGTAAACTCATTAAAATTAGTTTTCTTTTCGGATAGACGAGATGCACTGTGATGGGGACGATGTTGTAGATGAGCTGGAGATTTTAGAGAACTTACTTAGATCTGAATCGATTTTGTTGGATCTACTTTTTGTCCTATTTTGAAAACTAGAGGTGTATAATTGTTTATAGTTTTATGACATACCGGTAATGATGGTTGCATTCTCTTAACTAGTTTTAAAATATAAAACTTTTTGTATAAAATTAATTAAGGTTAGTAGTAATGACTGTAAGTCGAACTTCCTGGGGAGTGGGCGTTACAACAAACGATTTCATAAAAAAATTTAGAAGGGCTCAACAAAACATGCACCGGACTAAAATCTAGCCTGATTTTTGTACGTAAAAAATAAGTTCAAACAAAAATAGAACTTGAAATTGGCAAAAATGATTGGAAAACACAATGAATGGTTGTTTTCAAACAGGCCTCAATAAAAGTAATTTTCATCATAGAATCCAAGGTAAAAATTAATAGATAAACATCATTTTCATCCATAGAATGGAAGGTAAAAATTAAAAGGTTTGGATTAGAGATAGAAATACTTACCTACATGTGTAGATCTAAGAGAGGAACCTCTCCACAAACGTAGAACTCATCCACAAATGATCTCCTACCATAAATCTTTATTTTTGGTACATGCAACCTCAAAATCCAAACCAATCAAAAATAGTTAGAGCCAATCCGTTGGTGGATAGAAGTCACAAAATATATATATATATATATGAATAGATCTAATAAAAGAATGATAACCTAAAGTCAAACTCAGGAGGAGGTAAGAAGTAAGGAGGAAAGGCATGAGTTGAAAGAGAAAAAATAAGAGGGACGAAGCATATATAGGATTTGTGCAAAGGCAGAAGGAGAAAAGAGAAAATGAAAGGGAGGAAAAATGTTTAGAGACGAACAGTATTCGAGGGAGGAGAAGAGTTTGAAAGAACAAAGAGAGGGACGACGTCATAGAGGAATCACTGCAAATGAAGTAAGATTCAAAATACATTGTCGATCAAATATCTCAAGACAAAAACATTTGATTCAGACTCGAACTACTCCAAAAGCAAGATTAATTATGTCAAGTTTTTAGTAATCGTAAACATGCAACCTAAACACATAGAATCGTACAAAATTTAGTGATTGGCCAAAGAAAACACAAATAAAACATTAGTCTATAAGACATGTCAAGAGTTGTAATTTTAAATAAAAAATTCTCTAAAATTTGCGAGCCGTTCATTTCATGATGTGAATTACAACAATCTTGTGACACATTTTCTTCCCATGATTAATGTGGTGGTTCATATACATAGAATCATCGGTCACTATGTAAATGGTTCAAGTTATCCAAATAATTCACATATTTCTCCATAACCCATGTAACTTGCAGCTTTCTCGCTGTCCTTTTTAAGGGAACTTTCTCACCGACTTTCAACAATCTGGAAATTGAAATCTTTAATGGATTCAATTTTTTTTTTTTATAACATTAGTTTTGATATGTTTGGAATAACACCTAGCATCATTTTGGTGGCCCAAACAATTGGAAAACTTTTAAAGCTGTGTTGAGAATTTGATTTGAAGGGTATTTTCTTCATTCAATCAGTACAAAAATTCAGTAACAAACGCAACTGTATTTCACTCAAGATTAAAGGCAAATGAACACCAAGTACCTTGCTACATTTCCGCTGAAGACATGCTCCAATCCTGTCATGTACTGATTTATGTACTGATTTATACATTCTATGAACTCAAATCCACACTACACCGTGTATTGAAGAAAATCAAACGCACATTAAATCGGAGTCATCACCAAAACTCGCAGTCAAGCCAAAACTCTTATTAAAACATCAGGGGAGTAGGCTGACAAGGTAGAGAGAACACAATTCTGGACCAAAACCAAAATTATTGCATTGCCTGTCCATTCAATATATGGTAATTTTTAGCACATATTATTAATTGAAACCTTGGCTAATTCCTCAACTTTTTGCATCCTAATGGAATAAAAGGTGAGTAGTATATACCTCTTGTTTGTTTCAATAAGCGATATTGTTTCCTCCCATCACCGAGAACAAACTCTGAATGAAAACTACTGCACGGATGAACGTGGCCGGAGGATTCCCTTCCATTGGAATATCCTTGACCTCTTGGGTGTTGATGTTGTGCAAAACCACCTGCCCTTCGCTGGCCTCCATTAACAACTCAGCAGAGCTCACAAACGCCAGTGGCTTCTCAATTCCAAAACCAGGGGCTATTGTGAATACCTTTGTCCATGAAACCCCAACAAAATCCTTCTCCATTTTCCAAATGTCGAACCTTCTTTCATCTCCACTCTTCGGGTAGTGAAACAAAACCATGGATCCATTCAGAGTCCCAGCACTTCTATACTTCTCATCATCTAGCTCAAAACTCTCCGGCACCGAAATTCGTCCAAACACCTCCTCACTCATGTCGAACGACAATATAAATTCAGTATCATCGTCCTCCGCCCACCAGTAAAACATTCCTTCGTAATACATCTCAAACGAAGGGTTCCAAATTACAAAGCCACAAACAGGGGTTTGAATTTCTCTCCATCTGTTTTTACTTAAATCGAAGATTTCTACCCTAGGAAGATGATCCACTTCAATAAAACGCACCATATCCGTCATATCCGCATGATACATAACCCTAACTACTTTTAAATCCCCAGTTTTCGAATTGTACCCGAATCCAACAGCATTGGTAACAGAAGTAAGCGCTGGTTCGGCGAGAATAATCGTGGGCGGAAGTTCTCGAATATCTGCGGTTGAAGGATTCCACAGGTAAATGCCTGTATAGAGATCGCTGAGACAAACTAAGCCATGAGAATGGCCGCGGATGTCGTAATTCGATATCTCACATTCATCAGGATAGTAACAAAGGTATGGATAAAAGATATTCAAAACCGAGCCAGATAGGTGAAGGGGATACGGGAGAAAGGAATATACGTACTCCTTATTATTAGACTCACTCGTAACAAGACGCTTCAGAAGAATGTGATTCGGAAATGAATTTGAAAAATGCTTGTGTGCAAAGTTATGGTCGGTGATTGTAACGTACCAAGACCTACAAACAGACTTGAATCGGACCAGAGATTTAGCTGGAAGCCACGAAAGAATCTCGACCACCAGGTCTTCCGGCAGATGGTCCTGCGTCGCCATTACAGAATTTGAAACCATAGATGGAGAATGCCGATGTTTTGTAAATTGGCGCCTTTTGTTTGAAATATATTGCAAAGGAGTGAAATTCCGTTTTCAGCCCTGGGTTTACTTATTTCATAAATATATTTTTATGGTTTACTTATTTCATAAATTATATTTTTATTATTTTTATTATTATTATTATATTATTTCATAAATTAGTCCTAATCAATAATCTTAAAATACTGATTAATCTATCATATAATTTATCTTTATCTTTAAAGAATGTGGGTTACTTTTGTTCTTTATATAATTTAAAATTTCTATTTTTCACCTAATAAGGATTTACTCATTTATTTCATTATTCTTCTATTGCAATTTAAGTAATATCTACCGTATCAATTCAACGTCAAATTGAATCTTTCCCAAAAACTTAAACAATAATTTTTAACATCCCAAGTTTTTTATTTTTTGTAATAGCGAAGTTTCAAAATAAAATTTAAATGATGCAAACATTTTAAAAATGATGTTCTAAAGTTTTAAAATTATAAAGTATGTTTAAATATATTACCCGTCCAATGTAAGTAAAAAGTGAGAAGTTTGTGAATTTCACATTATGGTATGTATGTATATGTTTATAAATAGGCCTGAGCTTAGTAGGTATGCATACGTTTATTATTTTCTTAATTGTTCATTGTGAGGAAAAGCTTAATATAATGTGCTCCAATTGTGTTTGTATTTTAGTGGAAGAAGTAATTTGGGAAGAGAAGTTAATTTTTGAATGAATTTCAAGCATAATCCTTTTTCCTTTCCCACAAAATTTTGAAACTCTTGGAATAGAGCTTGGGTTATATGTTAAAAAAATAAAGACAAAATTCATTCAATTCTCTACCTCAAAATATCATAACCCAACCTTAATTTGTCATTACTTTTTCTTTTTAATTTTTAATCACTTGAACTGACTCAATTTCACATCAATAAAAGTAACAAAGAGTTTCTAAAAGATTTAATACGCTAATACTCGTAAATTTTTACATATGTTTTATTATACACCTACAAAAGCTATCAAGTTTTTGTTGGGAACCTAATTGAGCAATGGTACTGAGTGTTATGCACCTACCTAGATCCATGGCAAGATTTCGTGAAGGTAATTGGAGAACACCTCTTCTAAAATTCTTTTACATATATTTTATTATACACCTACCTAGTTCCATTTGCAAGATTTTTTTTTTTTTTTTTTTTTTTTTAAGGTAATTGGGGAATCTAATTGAGCTACTTTAGTTATTGTTGGACTACAGTGAGTTAGAGCAAAAAAAAAAAAAAAAACAAAAAGCAATAGTACCTGAAAACTAATCTCCTCCAAATTTTAGTTTATGAACAAAATTACTGGCTTGAAATTCATTATGGATCCACAAATAGATTAGGTCTAGGAACCAAAGATTAAGAGAGCTTAAAGTTCAACCAAACCATGAGCTAATCAAGAAATGGTGACTAATATTGCTAGAAACTTTGAAAATACCATATAACATATGCGTACCTAGATGTGGAGGAGTTAAGCCCATGCATAATCATACTCAAATTTCAAGCTGCAAAGCTAGTGATGTTCCAAATGTTGGAAACCTATGGCAAAGAACAAGGAAAATTGAAGAAAAAAAAAAAAAAAAAAAAAAAAGAAAATGAATTTTTTCTAATTTTTATCCGAACTTCCCAGCTTTTTAAACTTCTAAACTTTTCCTAAAAAAGAATTTCAAGATAGTTAGGAGAGAAAAATGGTTGAGAGGAGTAAATAAAATTTGGGAAAATTATGAATTTTTTAATAAAATAGTAAAAAATTGCCAAATTACCAAATTACCTCTGAAAGTACGAGTAATTATGAAAATGTCATTCCGGTCAAAATAGAGTATCCACAATAACCTTCTGCACAAAATCCATCCAATCTAAAAATACAGTGGTTGGATCTCCTCCAAAATTGGACACCATCTAGAACACTCACACATCATCACATCTAACGCCTAGAATTTAAAACCAAAATCGACAAGGCTCTAATGGAAGCAGATAATTTCGGTGGAAAGCAGATAATTCGGGTGAAAGATCCAGAAAACTCAAGAATGGAATCATGATGATTCTGGACGTTTCAATGGTTTCAATGGTGGTGGATCATCAATTTATAAATTATGAATCAAGTGAAACTAACAGGGGCAAGAAGCGAGCTTAATCAAGTCCTCAATTGAGAGTTACGAGCGTTTAGATTTTGGGTATCGTATTCTCGGGTTAACCTCGAATTTGGAAGCTATAGTCCACCATTCCTCCTCAAACATGTTTCTACATGTTCTAAGCAAGATTACCCATAATTTTGATGAGGGAGGAAGCTTCGAAAACGTCCCTATCCTATTCCCCCAACTCTGTCCGCCATTGAAGGAAGTTCAAAGTAGAGCTTGAATCCAATCTGCAGCTATAGACCTATTCACCAAGTGAGTTCTATCCCAAACGATTTCTGCCCACTTAAGGAACATTTTCAAAGAAGGTTGCGAAGAGAAACGACCTAAGGAACGTGCATAATCAAAGAAATTCGATATCGGATAAGATTTGGAGGTAAAACTTGAATTCTTGCTTACGGTCTTTAATGCCCAAAATTAATGATTTCAGTAGCTAGAAGGGAGTAAATGAAGCATGTTTGATGGAGTCAAGTGCTAATTCGTCTCGAGTCTAGCTGCTCAATAGATGGAAAACAGCATTCTCGGTTGAATTGCAGACCAAGGAAGGAAAGTCAAAATTTGCCTCAGCAATACTCAATTGTCTCCTCAGAACCATCCCTCTTAGCTTAAATGAAGTATAAGGAATATTTTCCTTGTAGGAGGCCTGGTCTAATAGAGCCTACACGGTCGTAACTAATAAAAATATCTTCTATTACTCTGATGACAAAAAAAGTTTTCTCTCTAGACGTCTATAACTTACGTTGTAGTTCATGAGTAGGTAAGATAAAAATCTCAAACTTTTCCTTGACACTCCGTCTTTAAGTTTTATGAAAAAATCGAGATGAGAAACTGATAAGAATCACGGTGTTCCAAATGTTCCAACTGGACCTTTACACGATCCAAGGCCAAGAAGATTCAACAAGCATTCATTCTTCATCTACAAAATTGGATAGGCTCCGTTCAACCATCATTTCATGTGTCACAAGCTGATTCGATTGAGGAATGACCATTTGGAGCTTCAGAAGTGAATATTTGCACGGTTGAAGTAGCGGATGAAGTTGCAAGCATTATTTCATGAGTTGTTATAAAACTTTATTTATTATTTTTAATTTCATAAACTTTGTAATAGTCAAATTGACTTCTTCTTTTGTGGAGATTTAAGAGGATCGGGCGGCCACTGCCTTCTTCTGTGGAGAGACTATAAATACCCATAAATTATTATGTAAAAGTAAGATTTGTGACGAATGAAATCATCTTTGTCATTTCTAAGCTTCAAGCAATTCTTGTGGTAGATTGCATATTCATTCAATAAGCGTGGATGAAGTTAAATTGTGTAATGACTCAATTTAGAAAGAGATTTCAAATCTTGCTTCTAGATCATTGATGGTAAGAGGTAACCTAATTCTAGCCTTATGTCTGGTTGATCCAAATTTTGTATAAAGAGTGTTAATTTTTTTTGTTCAACCGTTCTTGCTTCAACAAAAGCTTAGATTGTTGGGTTGAGGATTAGGGTTGCCTTATCAGAAACATCCCATAATGAGCTCGCAGAACTCGTTTTCAGACGGAGGAGCAAAGCCACACATCGTCTTCTTCCCCTGCAGTAGGAAGAAGACCATGACGTGGTTGGTTCTTTTGAACTGGCCATGTCAGCTCAAAAACAGAACCTCCTTGGTTTCTCATTAAATTAAACCTTTTCCTAATCGGTTCTCACAAAATTCTTCATGGTTTCAAAAACTAGACTCACTAAAGAGCCTACCCAAGAAAATTTGGAGGAAATCGAGTATCGAAAGCTCGAGAAACAAGGCCCAAACAACGAACAAGAGGTAAGTAGCCATCTTGAACCTTACTTAACAAATACTTTAGAAATCGCTTGTATTTCTATATGAACCCTAAACTAAGTATGACTTAAAGAAATATGAAAGAATAACACTGAGAACCGAGAGTTAAAGACTCCAAACTGATCAAGTTGTTTGGGATTTAAATAAAGTTAAAATAACCTATTAAATGAATTCTAGTGCGTATGAATTTTTAGTACTTGGTATATTATGACATGTTAAGATTATATATGAAATTTTGTGGTCATTGGATAGGAATAAGTAGCTAAAGCAACCATAATTTCCCTAAATAAATTACCTTCTGTTCATGACCTAGATGACCTCTAAATACTATGAACTTTGTATTAGACCTTATTTTATGATGTTAGATGATGTTGTTGTCTAGAGCGTTTCTCTCCTCCATTCTTCAGAAACCTTAAAAGACAAACTGCCAAGGCATAGTTTGGGATTGGCATCTTACTTCGTGGACTACAGCGTAAGTTGTGAATTTCCAAAGTTGGTAGAAAAGTTAATCTTCTGCCGGAGCAAAACGAGAGAATTTGTTATTGGGCAAGGCTTTCTAGACACTCTTGGGCCACACTTCCTTCACAAAAATCCTCCTTATACTTCACTTAATCTATAGGAATGAATTTGAAAGGGCGGCTTGGCCTGATTGAGGCTAATTTGGGATCTCCTCTTTGGTCTTCAACTAAACCAGAACACAGGGTTGAATTACTTCAGAGCTGAATTCGGGGCGAATCTCCATCAAATAAACTCATTTTAGTCCCTTAATGCTAATAGGATACTTAATTTTGAGTATTATGGACTCTAAACAAGGATCCGATATTGAATCTCTTCGATTATGCGTTAATTCTTTTTGTGGTCTTCTACAAAAATGATTATTGGATGTGCACAAACCAATTAGGATAAGTCCATCTTCGTAAATTCACTTGTAGCCTTGGATTGGATTTCACAACCTTTTTTCAAACTGCTCCAATGGTGGACATGATTG